GGTAAAGATGGGAATATACATATAAGGCTTAAAGGATCCACTCCCCTGAGCGATGTGGGATGTTGCATTTTAACTTAATTAGATGTCCTCTAACATTTCCGATTTGGTTAATATTTTGCAAAGATGGATCTATGAGATGCAACTTAAAATTTGATGTAATGTGAGCCCAACAACTAATTCTCATCTCTACTAATTAATAAAACACTCATTGTCAACCAAAACACTATGAAATTACCAGTTTAACCATCTAATTAAAACAAAACATTAATAAGAAATATAGGGCAGAAATGTAATTTCACACAACCAAATTTTACTATTTTTTTTTTCAAAGCCTCACCTACATGTAATCCTAACAAATCTCTAATTAAAAAATAAAAAAATAAAAACTTCCCACTCCCACATTCTCTATCACTCTCTTCCTCTCTCCTTCTATTTCAAAAACAAAAATAAAAAATATTTCTCACACATTTTGTGTGTGCCCATATGCTAGTTTTTATAAAAAATAAATAAAGATTTCTTCTCTTAAAAGCTTCATATATATATATATATACACACACACACACACACACACACAAATCCTTTAACAAGAGGGATCCCCATTTTTCAAAAAAAATGGGGACACCTTCTTTACCGTTAGATTTGACTTTAATGAAATTATGTGATTGATATTGTGTGGCCTGTGATTTAATCTCAACCACACAATTTCATTAAAACCAATCTAACGGTCAAAAGAGTGTCCCCATTGTTTTTTGAAAAATGGGGATCCCTCTTGTTAAAAGCTCTGTGTGTGTGTATGTATTAATCTAAAACAGTCCAAATTATATTGTAATTTGGTCTGACACTAAATTTTCAGGAAGAAAAAAAATGAAAAAACAAGAGTTATATTTTGTTGGCTAAATTAATTGGTCAAATAATCTGTTTGAAAAAGCATATTTCCCCAAGTTCAAATTTCGTTAATAAGGGAGGTGATCTTTCCCCTCTCCCTTTCTCATAATAAAGATATTAAAGAGAACGGAGAATTGGGTGATGTGACACGATGAGCCAACCACTAATTAGGTATTGGACTCAACATAAATATAATATGTCATCATTCATATGATTCTCGTTTACAAGTTCACAAGTTACAAATAAAGAAGAATATCTATAGACTGTTGTAATACTAGTCGGCGATCTTGTAAACTTTTTTTTAGGTTAAAAGAAATTGAGAGTACAAGTTACAAATGAAGAAGAATATCTATAGACTGTTGTAATACTAGTCGGCGATCTTGTATACTTTTTTTTAGGTTAAAAGAAATTGAGAGTACAAGTTACAAATGAAGAAGAATATCAATAGACTGATGTAATACTAGTCGGTGATCTTGTATACTCTTTTTTTAGGTTAAAATAAATTGAGAGTGTAATAATTATTATGTATAATGTTATCCCATTACAATCAAAATATTAAGGACTTGTTTTGCGCAACGAGAAATGCTACGGGACTTTCTCAAAAGTGGATTTTTTGTCATCTCATATTTTTTGCACAATGTTTTATAAAGTTACACAGAAATTGACGTTAAACACATGGCTAAGGGATTGGACTAATTGATATATCATATTTTGCATCCAGTAATCACTAATTAAATTACAATTCTAAGGTAGTCGTAGAATTCTCGAACTAGATTGTGAGCCCTGGCACCCAGAATTGGTCTCAATTGAGAGCATTAGGGGCATCGAGGAATGAAATACTTGGGTCATCTCAAACGTCAAGTTTCTCGTCTTGACTACAAGTATCCCAATAGTCAACATTCATGGGTCGTGTCATGTTCGCTTAGAGTTTGGATCGTGTTCTACGAACCAGCACAACTCACAATTCCTAGGTATCGGGACTCGCAATTAGAATCTATTCTACTCACCAGAGTCCCCCAAACCAAGCCCCTGGCTCCAAGGTTCTCAAGCGGGAGTCTTGGCCACAAGGTTTTGATTACCCTAAGATTAGATATCCAGAAAAATACATATGATGGGATTATAGTGAGATTCTTATCCAATCCCCGGTCAATATTTAGTACCAATATAGGGTTAGATTCAACTAATCCAATCCTACTACTTATCCTACGCTAACAAAGAGAAGTGTAGGATAAGTCATCACGAGTAGGATAAGAATATTGTAATGAAGGTCATACAGCGTTTTTTTTATTTTTTGAACAAATGATATTATTCATACTAAGGGAGGAGAGAGTGAGTTTATAATAAGTTAACAATAATGTGGTTCAAATTAGCTTTTGGCGAAAATCAAATCTAAAACATCTTACTTGCCGGTAGAGGTAATTGATCGCTTTATGAGGTAAAGAAAGACATAAAAAGGAATTTGTTTTCCCTAAATTTGGGTGTGACAATTTCTCTAACAGTGGGGCTAAAAAGTTGAATGGAAATTATGAAGTGTTGATGAAGAAAGTGGGATCCTCCCTGGAGTCCCATGATATATCCACATTGCACTGGATTTGGATTATAGAAAGCATTTCGATTTTTGTTTCCAACTTTTGAAGGCGGTGGGACCAAAATGACAATCGACCAAGAAAAATGGTGTTTGCTTTGCTCCATAAAGTATAAATTTATAATTCAAAAACAGTTATCTAGGGTTCAGTAGTGATTTTTGCGCTCCTTTTTGCACTTTCTGGTTGTGCCTTCTTAATTTCGATCCTTAATTATTTTCTTTTTTGTTTAATTCAATGACGAAAAATGAAGGGTGTATAAAAATTATTACAGTATTTTATAAAGACGAAACTTAAATGAATATAAGGAATTACAGCTCGTTTGGTATGTAGGATTAGTTTGAAATATATATAACAAGTTAATTTCAAATATTAAGAAGGGAGAAATGAAAAACATTATGTCTAACATGAGTGTTTTCGCGTCTAATCCTCTTATAATTTCCTCCAAATAAAAATTCATTCATTTTTATCTTTAATATCCTTTGAAATTAGGGAGTTTTTGGTACCAATCCAACCTTACGTACCAAATGGGCCCTAGAGGACTAGAATCTTAAAGTTTAAGCTCTACTTGATGATTCTACATCGCAAAGCAATTACTCATGTCAATAAATAAGACCAAGCATAAGAAATTAAGTTTGAATCTTAAAGTTAAAGCTATATGATGATTCTACATCCCAAAGCAATTATTCATGTCAATAAATAAGACCAAGCAGGAGAATAAAGTAGAAACGAGGTTCTTAATCCAATCGTTTTTTAAAGCATGTCTAGAGAATAACTGTAACATACTCCCAAGTGTGCGAGCATAAAATAAGAAATGATCCAACCTTCAAAAACCAAACACCAATGTGATTTATTGAGGAAAAAGATAGAGAGCGAGAGGAAAGATTGACATGTTTACTTACTAAGAATAAGTAGCAAAGCATTTATCTTTCTCAATCTTGACATATCCTTTGTTTACTAAGCAAAGCATTTATCTTTCTCAATCTTGACATATCCTTTGTTTACTAAGACACAATGGACGAAAAAAAAATGGATCCAAAATTGAAATAAGGTATGCTATACCCAATTTCAACTACGTATCAGTACTAAAGGAAATTGTTATCCCGTACTTGAACAACTACATTGTATCATTACCATATCATTTGGGTAGTGTTATTCATGCACCCATTTTTACTTATCAACAACCTTGATAATATTTATCCATTGATCTTATTTTAGTAATTCAATCCGACGATCAAAAATTGAGGCAAGTGCGTGAGAGGTAAAAATGTATGTGTGAACAACACCCTATCATTTTCACACCTGAAGAAGTAAACATGCTCTGGGTAGGGAACGAAGTTTTTCTCCTTCCATGAACCCTAAACTCTAAACATGCATTGGTATAATCTACTTTTAGCACTAGAGCTCGTTTGGTACACAAGATTAGATTAGAATGGAGCACTCCTTAAATTCAAAGGTATAGTGAAGGTGGAAGTGACTGATTTTTCATTTGGAAGGGGATTTAAAGAGGGTTATCTAATAACAAAATTCATCCCTTCTAATCCTTCCATTTTAAGGAGGATTGAAATAGATAAGTTTTATTCACGAGTAAATTCAGCTTGCATCCTCTAGAACATCATAATTTTATAATTTCTCCATTCAACCTACCTTTAGTTTAGCGGATTATTCATTACAATCTTTGTGTACCAAACAAGCTCCAAATATCATTGCTTATAATCTCTCTTGTAAAAACAAGGAGACTAAAAAACTGGTAGAAAATTCTGATTTGGGGCATTGATTAAGTTTTACTACTGCGAGTCCGAACCAGTATTGCCCTCAGTGTGTAGTGTGCTTCTGGTCAAATCAACCTCGTCCCCTGTCCTGTGTCCTGTGCTGGCACAACAATGACCCACACGAAAATGTGACATCGAATTTCCACTACCTTCCAAGCAATGTTAAATTTTTTCAATAACGTGAAATTTCTAAGAAAATATCCAAAAACAATCAGAGAAAGATATAAAAACGGAGGATGAAGTCTAAGCTTCACCTTATATCAGTCGATATTTACAAAAATTTGCAATCGATATTTCCACCAATACTAATATTTTAAATCCTGCTTCCAAGCCAATGACATAATGGTCAATATGTCAATCCAAAAACGAGAAAATAGAGAAAGGAAAAGCAAGAGGATAAAAGAAAAGGGAAATCCAATAGGAAAAAGAAAATTTTAACGAAAAACTATATTTTTACATTAAAAAATCAATCATGATACTATTTACTTTACCCTTTATTTTGTCCTTATCGTTAAAACTCAAAGTTTTCAAACTCTTTTCATTAATTTTCCTTAGGAAAAAAGGAGCATCCAACCAATCCAAATCCTTATATTTTATTTTTCTCCCCGCCTCACATGGCCTTTTGCCCCACAACCACATGACAGGAGGCCGATGAGATTAGATACTTTTGGGTGCTATGGTGGACCCCACCAAGTTTCTCTTTTTTTTTTTTGAAAACTCCCCACCAAGTTTCTTTGCCAGACAGCTAGCACAAAGAGGAACAACCAAAAAGGATCTATTTTCTTTCGAGTCAAAACAATACTAACACACGAAGATAGATGGCTCATCATCCTTTTTGGATATTATACCCTGAAAGAGTAACTAATAGTTGAGACTTCACATCCTTAGAGAGACCATCTGTTTAGCCAGACAGACCTCCCCATCCCGGAAGTTGGGCCGCCACGCGCAATCTGATGGGCTCCTTTGATGCATTTGTTTAACCAGACTGGGTAATGGCATGACAGTATGGTCTAGTCTCTCGTGTTTTCATGGTGATGCTGACGAGGAGGGGTTGAGCACGTGCGGCTGAGGCTGCTGGTGGACGTGGTTGTTGTTAAGAAACCCAAAATCACCGAACAGACCCTGAAACATGAGGAAAGACAAGTGAAAATGTTAACAGTTTTTTACGACAAGTTCTCGCTCACCATCAGGTAGGCAAAATGAGAATTTGGACCTTATATTTGTTCATATTCCAAAAGATTATTCGAGTTATTTGGGTCGGTCTTGTGTGACAATATATAACTATGAAAAAACTTAGACTGTAAAACGCATATGTGTGATATGCATCCCAGGATTTCAGTCGCATATGGACATACCAGTGCATCATTGATTGCATAAGCTACGCAGTAGTGCTCCTGAAAATCAGAAGATTGGGACAATACTCAGCGAAAAATTAAAATATCAATGAGCATATGACAATAAATCCTTCACTGCCCCCAGAATAGAGGAGAGAGATAAAGATGACCCAAATCATATCGGCATTTTCTGATAGGGCAGTACAGGTGACACGATCCAGCGTCCCAGACAAAGGACCAATCGTTGCATCTGGCCCTACGCAACCTAGGTCACTGGACTCACTGCAGTCCCATGAATCGTGTGCCTGCATGTGGAAACTCACACATGCGCAAGCGTACGCACAAATACAGGGAGGAGACCAATGTAACTAACCCCTGTCAAATTACTTTTACCAAAAAATGTTCCAACAATTCTGTTTCCTTTAACAAAATAAATGAAGAGGTGACTTGCCTGCATCATATGCCATTCTTCAAATTCATCAAACAATTCCAATCGTTCAATCCTAATCAACAAGACATCACATATCCCAATAATAATTCAGAAATGATAGCAAGTTAGCTGACAAAGAGCCATAAAAAGAGCCAATGCATGGACATAAATAAAAACAAAAACGAAAGCAGAGGCACTTTATATCCTAGAAATTAGAAGTTTTAGAACCTTGAAAACATTGGTGGTACAGCAATATCACTACCATAGGATCTTGGTACAACCATATAAAATCAAAGAAACTTTCAAATATATAATAGCAATAGGAATACCAAAAACAGAAAGAACAAGAAAAAGCATAAAATCAGGGAAAAGACTTCCAGAGAAAAGTCTAGAGGGTTCTAATTTTCTGTATAGTAGATTCTGAAAAGCCGCTTATTTGCCCCCTTCCTAACCTTCATGATCGAAACCCAAATTTGAAGTTTTTATTCTTAGGAATACTCAAGGACAGAACTCAACTCGAGTAGGAATGTATATGTTAGGAATCACAACACCTCCTCTCAAGGACATAACTATACATGTAATGAAAATATTAAACTAGGAACTGGCTTTCTAAGCAGGTACATGATCAATTAGATAGTTCAGAAAATGGAATCCAAATATGAGTACTAACGACTGTATGACATATTCTATTAAAACTTCATGTTTGGTTAGCTTGGACTATCTAAATTTTTTTTCAAGCAGAGCAGAATAAAATGGGTATCAAGATATTCTGAAAGCCAAGCAGTTTCACAGATTTGTAGAACTTAAAGACAGTTAATTAAATAAGGAGAAATTTTTGATAAACACTAATCCAAGTTCCTGGTAAAAATTAAGTGATGGGAATTGAAAAAAGTGAATATTGTCCTTTCATGTAGGAGCTGTCTGGCTATATTTGACAGTTATTCTGTTCACTGGCTGTATTGTGGGTTCACTCCCTCTGTACTATTTTACTAAAACTCAGTGGACGGCTGGTTCACTGGTTTTCTATCGGTATTCTTTTTCAATTACAGAAACTTTTTCAATTATAGAATGATTGTTCTTCGCAACAAAAAAGAAACAAGAAATATAAGAAGTGAAGCATGTCACTGCAAAGACAAGCAAACAACTAACAGTTTTCCAAGATACACATTAGAGATACCTGCGTCTTTCTTGAGCTTCAACAAAATCACTGTACACTTTAAGCATGTCCCAGGCAACAGCCCTCTGAAACCTCACACATTCAAATTCACAACATTACTAAAAATAAAGATACATATGGGATGAAGATTAATCAAATGAAATAGAAACAACAATGGACATGATGCAAATAAAAGCAACCTAAAACATTAAACTTCATTTTGGAAGGTGTTGATGCACAAAACTGGAGGTCTTAGAACAACGTAAATCCGACCGTGAATTTGCAAGTAATGTAAATAACACAAGATGTATCGTGGTTCACCCCAAGGTTTGGGCTACGTCCACACTAATTATGTATTTATCTGAGGGAGAGAGAGATAGTGTGAAGCAAAATCAATTCATGGTACCCAACAAAAGCTTCAATTCTAAAGCTTCACCTACAAAGCTTCAACTCCAAAGCTTCAACTCTAAAGCTTCAACAGAAAAGCTTCACCAAAAAAAGTTTCATCAATGGAGGACAACTATAAATTCTCAAAAGCTTCACACTATCTTGATCAAGATAGTGTGAAGCAAAATCAATTCATGGTACCCAACAAAAGCTTCACCAACAAAAGCTTCATTAATGGAGGACAACTATAAATTCTCAAAAGCTTCACACTATCTTGATCAAGATAGTGTGAAGCAAAATCAATTTATGGTACCCAACAAAAGCTTCAACTCCAAAGCTTCACCTACAAAAGCTTCAACACAAAAGCTTCACCCACAAAAACTTCAACACAAAAGCTTCACCAACAAAAGCTTCATCAATGGAAGACAACTACAAATTCTCAAAAGCTTCACACTATCTTGATCAAGATAGTGAGCTTCACCTACAAAGCTTCTAACTCCAAAGCTTCAACACAAAAGATTCACCCACAAAAGCTTCACCCACAAAGCTTCAACACAAAAGCTTTACCTACAAAAGCTTCACACTATCTTGATCAAGATAGTGTGAAGCAAAATCAATTCATGGTGCCCAACAAAACTTCACCTACAAAACTTCAACACCAAAGCTTCGCCTACAAAGCTTAAAATATATATATATATATATATACAGAGAGCTTAAGGAGAGGGATCCCTATTTTTTGAAAAAAATGGGGATTAGGTGTGGGGCCCACTTCACAACAAATTTCAACAATCCGAACCGTCTATTTTGTTAGTCTCGATTCATAAATCATCCTTGCAAAATATTAGCTAAATTGGAAATGTTTAAGACATCTAATTGGGTTCAAGGAAATAAACGATTACTTTTGTTATATAAGAAAATATGAAATTTGATATTGATAATTAAATAGGCAAATGGTTTCGGATTGAATTGAATTTTTGCAAGGATGATCTATGAATCAAGACTAACAAAATAGACGGTTCGGATCGTTGAAATTTGTTGTGAAGTGGGCCCCACACCTAATCCCCATTTTTTTCAAAAAATAGGGATCCCTCCCCTTAAGCTCTATATATATATATATATATATATTCGAAAATTCAAAAATTCAAAAATTCAAAAATTCAAAAATTCAAAAATTCAAAAATTCGAAAAAAAAAATTTGCCTAGGCCTCCTCTTCTTTAGGCCTAACAACTTTCATAACAAATATATATGAAGGAGTTTTGGGCTACCACTTAGAAAGGAAATGCCTCATTCGTCAACTCCCGAAGACTTGGGGAACTCCTACTAGGGCTAGGCAAACGGGTACAGGAACCGCGGGTCGGGGCAGGTACGGGCCGGTTCCTATTTTTAAAAAATAGAAATGGGGCGAGCCGGGGCGGGCCTTTGTGATTTTAGGTTCAGGCCGGTTCCTGGAGTATAGGAACCGCGGGTACCCGGACCGGCCCATTTGTAATTAAAATGAATGGACCAGATTGATGAATAAGCTACATATCTAATCTGAACCGTTGTTTTAGTGTTATCCTAAGTTCTCTATCTCTCTCATCCCTATTCCCCACTCTCACTCTCACTCTCTCAAACTCTCAGACCTCAGTCCCTCGACTCCAATCCCCTCACCAACCGTCGATTCTCCTCAGCGAATACAACGGCACCACCCATCATCCTCCTCAACAACATCCCAGAGAACCTAGGCCATCACCCTTGCCATCGATTCTCTCCTCTTGGACAACAACCCCCGCCGTCGTGACCGCCATCACCCCATCACCATCGTCGAGGACACTGGTACCAGCCATCATCCCTCTAAAATTTAGGTAATTTTGAATTAGGGTTTTGTTATTAATTTGAATTTTGGGTGTAGGGATTTTAAGTTTTTTAAATTGGAATTTGGGATTTTAGGGTTTTCGAACTAGGTTACTAGAGTTAATTTTGCAGTAGAGAAGATTGTGGGTTTTACTTTGTTCTTAATATCGCTCATTTCGGTGGAGAAGATTTTGATCAAGATTTTGAAGTTCATGATCAGTTCTTTTATATTAGTAATCTTAATGATTGGCACTACACATGTTTTTAGTGCATGGCATTCATTATCTTTCTTTTTTATAAGCATTCATTATACTTTATTGCAGTTTTGTTCCATTCTCAGCTTGTCTTTCCTCACCCTTCTTATGCAATTCCATTGGTTGTGGATATTGAACATTCTACAGTAGTTTTAAATTTTGCGTTTGAATATAATTGTTCTACGAGTGATAGAGTTTTGGACGTCCTAATCATTTGTTGCTTTTAAATAATCGGCAGACTTCTGTCTATTTGATTTTTGCAGTGTGTAAGATTATTTTTTATTTTTTACTTTTTTTTTTCTTTGAACAATTGGATGTTTGTGGTCTAAATGAGTATTGATTCTTGAATTGACAAGTATTCTTGGGAGGAAGTGCTGATCATGTATTATAACATTATCCTATAGCTTTATGTGTGGCTGAGATTGTGTAGGGAAGGAAATGTAAGTTGGGTAATTCATGCAGGGTACATAAGTAGTTTGGTGGTGATATGAATGCTTTTGTGAAGGTGCTGTATGCCAGCAATTTTTGGGGTTTCTTGGTTTGAGAGAAACACGAGGATCTTTGAAAACGATATTTGGGTGAGGACTAGTTACGGAATAAAGTTAGATTTTGTTCACCACGTTGGCTGACTATTTTCTCAATTTTATGATCCATATTCTTTGATTGGAAAGGTACTTTTTTTTGGATATTCTGATTTATATTGAAGGTCCTGTATGTAGGAAGAAATTGTATTGTTCATGTAGTCTGGTTTTTATTGTTGTCCGTTTTATGGTGGGGGACAACTCAACCGAAGAGATTGCATTTTGTTGAGGAGATTGGGTAGGCAATTAAAGCATTCCTTCTTATGCACCATAATGGTGATGAAATAAAGATCAAAATCTTCTAACATCTATGCTGCAAATGCTTTTTTCTTGGTTGTATCTATGCTGCAAATGTATCTGGTTGTATCTATGCTGCAAATGTCATGTTTATATTCTATTTTTGCTTACAGATTCAATGAGGATTGTTGTTGGAATTTGGGCGTTGGATGTTAATTTGAAATTTATTGCGGATGTGGTCTTGGACTCTCGGTTTCGGATGTTTTGTATGTTGATTTAATCTTTAGATGTTGGACAATGCAATGTTATTTTGGATGTATTGAATTTGTGCAATTGCAATCTGTGCAATATTGCAGTCTGCTTTTTTTTTTTTTTTTTCAATTTGTGCAATATGTGCATTGCAAAATGCAAACTACAAACTGCAAACTGCAATTTGTGCAATCTGTTTTGTGCAAACTGCAATCTGTGTAAACTGGAATCTGTGCTAACTGTGTAAACTGCAATCTGTGCAGTTTTTTCAAACTGCAATTTATGCAATATGTGCAATTTTTTTCAAACAATCTGTGCAGCAAACATTTTTAAACAGCAAAAAAAAAAAAAAAAAAAAAACAAAAACCCGTGTAACCGGACCAAATTGGCCTGTTTCAACCAGGTCAAGTAAGGTTTGGTTCCTATTTTCAGAATTGTAATGCCCGACCCGACCCGCCCCGTCTCCTTTAATTCAAGGTCCGGTCCGGTCCCTTCAAAAATGGGCCCAGCCCTAACTCCTACCATATGCTACTGCACCTTGATACTCAGAAGTTTCACGACCACTCAGTGACTTGGATTTTTCAAGTCTCCAACCGAGAAGTTTTCCTCACTCGGGAAATTAAGGGAGCACTACCTCAACATACATGCTTCACTCTCAAAGCTTCAACATACAAGCTTCAACAAAAGAAAAAATTCAAATAACTTAGTGAAAAAAGCATTGGTGTATTTAACACAATAAGTTAAAATGAAGCAAATCTTGTTTATTGATATCTCCGATAAGTTACAAATATGTACATATACATGAATCAAAATAAACAAACAAGAGGGAGTCTTCACAAAGGTTGCTTATGAGAAGTCTCAGCAGTCGGCAGAGGCCCATAAAGAGTAGGCACCGGAGGGTAAACATTTGGAGCCTCAGTACTGGGCAGAACTCCAGAAGGAAGAGGCACCGAAGGTTGATTATTTGGAGCTTGATTACGCGGTACAGCCCCAGAAGACGAAGGCAATAAATGTCTTTAGAACAAACCCACAAACCTTTGATGATCAAGCAAAATCTGACAATCAGATTCCTGCAGCTAGTCAAGCTTCCTCTTCATGTTTGTAGCATAGTTATGTGCGAGCCTGTGCAACTGTTTATTCTCATGCTTGAGCCCTCTGATCTCCTATTTGAGACTTATCACTTCAGCCGCCAATGATTCAACTTGGCGGATTCGAGCAAATAAGCGTGGGGCCATATTAGACACAGAGCCTGCACACTAAACACTGAGAGCCAGACTCCCAACAGGATTACTTTCTCAAAAATCGAAGAGACACTGCTCTCCGAATCTCAAGAGTCAAACTCCCAAAAGGATTGCTTTCTCAAAAATCGAAAAGGCAATGCTATCCAAATCTCAAAAGCCAGACTCCCAACAAGATTGTTTTCTCAAAAATCGAAAAGGCACCGCTCTCCAAATCTCAAGAGTCAGACTCCCAACAAGATTGCTTTCTCAAAAATCAAAGAGGCACCGTTCTCCAAATCTCGAGAGCCAGATCCCCGACAAGATTGCTTGTTCGAAAACCGAAAAGGCATCGCTCTCCGAACTTCGAAAGCCAGATTTCCTTGGATAAAGCTTATCTGCAATCTTCACACGCAACATCAGCTTTCCAGATACCACATACCATTTTTTCAAAGTGCTCTGACAAAGTTAAAACACGTGAAACTTGCAACTCCCACTACATTGCTACGACCAAGAAAGGTAAAGGAATAGCATTACTACTTGTTGTTAGGGAGACTCCTATATATGTCTACCTCCATCCTCCACGGACAGGCAGACCTGCAAAAATGCTCAACCCTTCCTCATATCTAAAAGGGCACTCCCAACGAAGCCTCTCGAAATACTCACAGCTTTCTCCCCCCCCCCCAATAATACCTATGCAAACCAGCCACACCAGAGCAAGAGTATCTCATATCATCAGGGTCAAAAGCAAGAATATCTCATATCATGTTTTTTTCATGTCTTTTCCTTTGCCCTTGTTCTTACCTGCAAGACAAGGAGAAAGAAAGCAATCAGTCAACACTTGGAATCAAGCTTCCAGTCAGGAACTGACTGCCTGTAACCCCTTGCCTGATTACTTACCTCGCATTGCTTCCAGAGAAGATGTCACATCTACGTATGAGACAGATAAGGCAAGTGAAAATGATACCACACTTCGGTACTTAGAAGTTTCGTGATTACTCAATGGCTTGGATCTTGCAAGTCCCCAACCGAGGAGCTTCCCTCACTCGGGAACTTAGGGGAGCACTATTTGTACCATACTTGACCAATCCCGAAACTACTGAGCACCGGTCAACATTATACCAGCAAGGATCCAGAAGAGTTTCCCTCCAACCAAGAGGCCAATCACAGCGTGACACGTGTCGACATCAGAAGCCAATCATAGCGTGACACGTGTCGACATCAGAAGCCAATCACAACACGACACGTGTCAATGTTAGAATGAAACTAAAAACTCTTCTATAAATAGAGATCATTCTCTCACAATATTTCCTAATGTCATTTGTACTAAATCATTTACTAGTACTCACTAAAGGAGAGCTTGAACCTATGTACTTGCGTAAACCCTTTACAATTAATGAGAACTCTACTCCGTGGACGTAGCCAATCTGGGTGAACCACGTACATCTTGTGTTTACTTCCCTATCCCTATCTATTTACATATTTATCCACTAGTGACCGGAGCAATCTAACGAAGGTCACAAATTTGACATTTTCTGTTGTACCAAAGTCCCCACTGATTTTGTGCATCAACAGAAGGTGACCAAGTTTTAATGGTGAACACAAATTCCTACGATGTGAAACTTCATTTTTTTTTTTTTTTTGGGGTGTGAATAAAATCTTCAGAGAACCTTAAAGTTGTCATGTTATTATTTGTTCCAACCTATTTCCTGCTTTCTAAGGATCTAGTTCATAGTAGATGACTGCTCTACCATAATTTAAAGGAGTTAATCACCGTTGCAAATTGGGTGATGTACCCATACCCAAGAGAGTAAAGAAGTTCTGGTGTATCATCACATACATCTCAGTATATCCAGAATATGATAGTTTAATGCTAAAGGTACTAAATATAATTTACAACACCTACCTGCCATCCTTGGTCAACAAAAAGGTTTTCCTTTGCCTGTAATGTTGGTGTATCATGTATGCCCAAGAGCGCACAGCCTCGACTCTGAAAATACAAAACAATAACGATACTATTTACACATCAAATTTTTATTCCAGATAACATGAGATGGTGCTGAGCAAACATAGTTTCACCTAAAGGAATAAAGAGATAAAATTAAGCATGAAACAGAAGCAGTTCCAGACCAAAAAGGTGAAGGTGTGTGTGGCCTAGACAATCTTCAAGTTTGATATATCCGTTTTTGGATTGATTTATATATTTATTCTATTCAAAACAAGAGAATTGATTTAAAATTTAGCCCACAGTAATAACTGTAATTCAGGTGCCTAGTAACTGAAACAAAACACAACTGTCCTCAAATGTCCTATTATTCCTCTCCGCCATAAACACAACGAGAAGCACAATGACATTGCCTTCCAAATAATACTGTAGTTCAGGTGCCTAGTAAAACAGCTTCACCTCTTCTAATATTTACAGAGTATTTAAAATATATACAGGACTCAACAGACTCTAAATGGACACTACAAGCATAAAAGTTGAGGCAAGCACAAAATCATCATAGCCCATGCTCATTGTAGTTTATCACACTGCACAAAGTATTATCTTCCTTTGTTTAACGGGACCTTTATAATTAACAACAGAACTTGGAACTTACAAAACCTATTTTGGTTGCATGAGCAAAGCCCCAAAACATATTCCCAATGAACAACTGACCTTATCTATCATGAGTTCCTAGAGTTTAAAAAAAATATCATTGCAAGGTTCTGCCCTGTTCTCAGACAAAGGCTGAGACAAAATTGCCATGCATATCAGAGAACCTGAGTTTTGAAACGTGTAGTTTTGGTACTTTAATGGTAATTTGATTAGGAGATCTCTCATATCAGTACTCTTCCAACACCTGTGCTTCTGATATTATTTTAAACATTTAAGTTTTTATCTATCACTAAATAATTCAAAACTGAGTATAATAAAATGGTGAAGATCTGAAAGGGCTCAATTTTTATTTTATCTTTTTAGAAAGAAACAAAGACAATAGAAAGACACCAAGGGGAAAGCTGCATTGTGAATGAAATTTAAAATAAAAGTACTGAATTACTAAATAAATAAGGAAAAACTGGAAGAAAGTAAAACAGACCTCCAAGTTTCTGATCATCTGCTGCCCAAAAGCATCATCCGGATGAATCTGCTCATATAAGAAAAATACCGCTGTAGAAAATGCTTTTGCTGTCCATCTAACTATGGAACGACTTGAATCTGGATCCAAGTATATCAAAACGCATTCTGCAATTATAAAAGTTGGAAGGCTGATAATAATATTAGAATAAACCATTTAATCACTAACTCAAGAAAAACTTAAACAACAGGATATCAATTAATCCGGAAAGAATAAAGGAAAGACTCAGTGAAAACATTAACAACATATTGCAGGTTCCCCAGGATTCACCACACCAAATGGGATGGACAACAGAATCAGCATAGACCCTATACCCTATAGCATGAGACTTCTTCCCAAATTTTCTATGCATGTGAGATTGGTCCCTGATCTCTCGCATTTCTTTCCATGAGGAGTCAACCCAATTCCAACTTTTACTTTTTATAGTAATTCCCAAGGAAAATTTGTTTCCTACTTATTCCCCCTCCCCAAGACCCCCCCCCCTTGGTCATCTCTCTTGTCAAAAAGATCCACAGGTCTTCTATTAATTTATTCTTTGATAAGAATCAAGAGGCAATTTTTAGCAAGTGAGTACCAAATGCATATTTTGTATAGTAGATAAAACAGTCTCCCTAACAATAAAAAGCATCACCATATTTTACGGAGGCTACAGTAATTGATATCTAAATGACGCACCACAAAAGGAAAAATCAGTAATCCAAAACCCCAAAGTGCTGAAATTACTGTAATGAGATTTAATGTAAGCACATACCTCGGATTCATACCAGCTAAAGCTATAACATTGTCTAGTTTTGGTATGTCACGCAAATCAACAGGAAGTAGCTTGTAGTGGTCACTGAGCACTTCTCCACTTTCTGCAAAGTAAAAATACTCTAACTGTGTACTGATACCGGTTTGAGTATTTCAATTCTGAACATATGAAAAATAACTGACATTCCTAAAGATACGAATTAAAGTTCCAATCATAAGATAAAGGGGAATCAGCAAGGAAAGTTATAAAAGTGCATCAGTGAAGTTTGCAACTTTGCACAATTCATATAGGTACATAAGAAAAAAAAATCAAAGAGAGCACTTCAAAGACACGTGTGGTCAATTGAACGGAAGCAGCCATAGATTTATAACATAAGCAACACAGGAGTACCTACCTCGAGAGATTGATGCTGTTGCACTAATTTTGTCCCTCAAATGACTGCACGTTTCAATAAGTGTGGCCTTCTTACTAGTTACCTAACAAACAAAAAACACATAGTTTAAATTCCTGGTGTGATAAAGATGCAAGTAAAAATAAAAAATTGAAGACAATATTTCTCTGCACTAGATACAGCAGCAAATTAACTCTTGGTCCAAAAGAAAACGGTCGGTTAGCTTGAGTTCATCCACAAAATATTCATTCATAAAATGCAAGATGGTTTGCATCCTTGAAGAAAAGTCAGTGTCTATAGCCAACACAATCGATGCAATGTTAATGAATATTTCATAAGCCATACCTCCTTAAAATCCAGCTCAACATATAAATATGGTGCTCTCCCCTCATCCTATCAACCAAAAAATCAAACAAGATGTGAACAAACCCGTAAATTTGTACACCACCATAATACTATTGACTCATGAATGTAGGAAACAAAGAGAAGATCACAAACAGAATCACGCTAAAGATTTGCACGGAAAAAAACACTCCTGATTCCTGAAACTATCTCAAAAGGGTTCCATCCTATTTCACAACCACAATGCTAGTAGGACAAGATTGACGTAGTTTCAACTCCTACGTTTTCCAAATACAAAATCGTACACAACCCACAACCAAAAATAAAAAATAAACTACCTGCAGCTGAAAATATGTTGTATCAAAGCCAGCTCCAAGTGATAATATCTGCTTCTTCAAATGACCCTTTTCGCCACCATTTCCTCCGGCATCAAGAAACTGATTTAGAAGCTTCCGCAGAGCGGCCCAACGTGCAAAGTAACCTGGTTTAATGCACAAACAAGCCAGAAAAGGAAATCAAAAGTCTTTACTGAACTTTCAACTCTAATTTTTTTATGGAGCAAGTAAACCTAAATCATACCGCGGTTAATAATCGGAGATCTTCTCACAGGTCTTCTCACAAACAAATGGACATAATCGTCTTTCATGTACCCTTTCTTCACGCACGACCTTTAAACAGTGATACAGTCACTTAAAAGTTAGCATCACACTCTTGACACAAAATTGGATTTTCCTCTCTAATTTCTCGGCAACCAAACATAAATTAAACAAAATTTCATCGCGCAGTACCATACAAAATGCAAATTTTGATGGAAAATATATGCGAAATTACAAAAATTAAGGAAAAAAAAAGATAAATAAAGGCTTAATTCGAAAAGGGCAGAAAGTGGAAAGGTAAAGAAAGCGCACAGTTTGCTGGCCGAGGCGTCGTCGTTTGTTGCTTGAACTGCTTCTTTGTTGCTGTGCGAATCCATTTCCAGATTTCAAGTTTTCTCCTCTCTCTCTCTCTCTCTCTTTCTTTCTCTGCATTTAATTTTAGGATGCTCTCTCCCTTTACTTCTTTTTGCTTCTCATCAAGGATTTAAATATCGATATTATCGACGAAATATCGTCGATAATATCGTTATTTTCATATAACGATATTTTCAATGTTTACAGTTAAGTATCGTAATAATATCGCGATAATATCGCTAATATCACGATATGATATTAGCGATATTATCGCGATATTAGCCATAATATCGCCGAGGATCCTCCGTCGTCGTCGCAACGGCAGCCGAAAATGAGCAATCCACGCTCAGACCCTGAAAATGAGCAATCCCTTTCTTCGGATCCCAAAACCCGCTCAGATTTGATGGGGGGAGAACCGAAGAAGGATCGAGAGACTGAGGGAGAAGAAGAAGGATTGAGAGACTGAAGGAGAAGGATGGACGGAGAGACTGAGGGAGAAGGATCGAGATCGAGGCTGAGGGAGAAGGATAGACGGACGGAGAGACTGAGGGAGAGAAGGATCGAGATCGAGGCTGAGGGAGAAGGATGGACGGACGACGGAGAGACTGAGGGAGAGAAGGAGAGACTGCGTGTGTGGTGTGTGCGTGTGTGGTCTGCGTGTGTGGTGTCTGCGTGTGTGGTCTGTGCGTGTGTTGCAGAGAAGAAGAGACTGAGGGAGAGAAGCAGAGAGAGGGAGAGCCTAGAAAGTGGAGAGAAAGAGAGGACTGAGAGAAGATAGATGTGAAGGATGGGGAATCGGGATGGAGGGGAGGTCACACCACACACATGGTGCTGAAATGGGGAAGCATGCTGCACCTTTTCAAAGTTTCAATTTCAACCACCCACCCAACCATGATTTTTACTTTTAATTTTAAAAAGTTAAATATAACCATTCAAAATATCTTAAGTTATATGACTTAATGTATTTTTAAATTTTAGATTGGTTGGATATTCTTTTTACATTTTATCATTCGATTTATTTGTGGGCTAACGAGGGAAACCAAACTAGCACATATGAACAAAAACTCGTCATCGTAGAGCTTTGGCTTCTATTCAAATTAGTAACATGAAAGGAAAACCAATCATACAATTTAGTCTAAATGGTGGAAGTGACGTTTCTACGTCAGTCTTATATTTACTACATCATCAATGTAATTAAAAACCTATAATTACCTAAGTAGAACCGTTCATCTCATTTTGGCGTCTTCGATTACCAAAACATAATCATGTACTATGCCTATATGATTTTGTATTAACACGTTGGATAAAAATATCACTCAAAATTTTGATATGGCTTTCAAAATTGACCAAACAGTTTTCTTTTTTCTCGAAACTAGATGATGTAAAATGTGATTAACCAAATTATTATTATTTTAAAAAAAATAAAGAAAAATTAGTATCCGATCCCTAGTTTCTAATGTTCATTTACTAAGTTCTTATCAGTTTTTATATTTTGATCAAAGTCTCTAGCATTAATGAATTACATGTAAGTTACATAACTTTCATAACAAAAATTAGTAATTTATTTAGAGTTTTAATACTCACATCCTTATTAAACTCCTAATTAATTTTCAATTCAAACATTTCAAATATATAAAAAAATAAAATAAGAATAAGTTTGTACCCATTAATTTTTATAAAAAAAAATTGATATGTACCCGTTATAAGAATAAGTCACTCATGTATCTTACCATGCAATATATAAAGTGTAAAATATTGTACTAATTCATTATATATAAATGATTATGGTGTGTTTAAAACTTCTTTCATTAATTACTACATATATAAATGATTAATTACTACATATTTTCTACACTCACAATGTTTGTCAGCTCGCTATATAATCAACTTGATAATGTTAAATCCATCATGCAATGCATTTCCTTCCAATTTTTTGTGATAAACTAATAGATAATTGACTAAATAAACATCCTGCAAAGTTTCAATAAAAATTTCCAAGTTTTTCTTACAATTTCCGTGGTTTCCATGTAATTTTTATCGATATCGATATTTTATCGATATTTTCGTGTTTTCGGACTACCGATATTTCCGATATTACCGATATTTAATACCTTGCTTCTCACTTTGGTGCGTTTTTCTCGGACAACACACAACACAATAGGGTGGTTCGGTTCATTCAGGGTACGTTTGGTACGTGGGACGGGACGGGACGGAACGGGACGAGGCGTTCCGTCCCGCGTTTGGTGCGTCAAAAATGGGTGGAACGGGCTGTTCCACGGGATAGATTTTGGGTGTTTTTGCGTTCCACCTCCCCCCTGGAACGGGTTTGTTCCACGTCTGTGGAACACAATGTTTTACCATTTTAAGACAAATATACCCCATGTCTTTTTCAAAAATTACACCTTCGTTCCGTCCCGTCTCGTCCCGTCCCGTCCCGTCCCGTTCCGTCCCGTCCCGTCCCGTTCCGTCCCGTCCCGTCCCGTTCCGTCCCGTCTGCGTACCAAACGCACCCTCAGGTACCGTTTGGTACGTGGGACGGGACGAAATGGAGTTGAACGAAGTGTTCTATCCCACGTTTGGTGCGCTTAAAATGGGTGGAACGCGCTCTTTCACAGGACAAATTTTGGGTGAATTTTCGTTCCGTCTCATCCCTGGAACAACTCGTTCTACATCCGTGAAAAACAAAATTATAACATCTCCTTCTTCTTCCTCCTTGTTTTCATCGGAGGGCATCTTTGCTCTCTTTCCATTTCGTCTCGTCCCATCCCGTCTCATTCCGTTCCGTCCCGTCCCATATGCATATCAAACAATACCTTAGCTACCGTTTGGTACATGGGACGGGACAGAACTGAGTGGGACGAGGCATTCCGTCTCACGTTTGGTGCGCCTAAAACGGATGGAACATACTATTTCACATGACAAATTTTGGATGAATTTTCGTTCTGCCTCACCCCCTGGAACGACTCATTCCACATCCGTAGAATACAAAATTATAACTTCTTCATCTCCTTCTACTTCCTCCTTTTTTCCATTCGAGGGCATCTTTGTTCCCTCTCTGTTCCGTCCCATTCTGTCTGCATATCAAACGATACCTCAGTTTGGTTTTTTTTTTTTTAACAAACGATATTATCTACCTGAAAAGTATGAGCTTAGTCACGAAATGGCTAGCAATAATGTGTTTCACCATTTGGTTTGAGTTTTATCTGATACCAAAAACCATATCGAATTTACTGTTCGGTTCAATTCGGTTTTCCATCGATTTTTTTCGATTCGTTTCAATTTTGGTTCAATTTTTTCTAGTTCAGAATCGATTAGGTTCGAGTTTTTTTCTGACATGTTTTTATAAAAGAATTTGAAAATTGATAAAGAATGTTGTGCTGGAAATTGCAATCTCTAACTATAAGAAAATCAAAAAATTATTTCCAGAGCAGGGGCAAAGCGATAAAGTCAAAAGAAAGATGACGAAAGGTCCTAAAAATTTTCTCTTTTAACGAAAAACCATTTTTAAAGGTATAGTGAATAGTGTCAGTTAAAGGTAAAAATGTGATTTTTCGTTAAAAATGAACAGTACCGGAAGTGTTTTGTTAAAACTCCCTAAAATCAAAAGATGCAATGTGATTATACAGACTGAAACACAATCAAATTCGCCCCCACAATTTGTATAGTTTGACAATGAGAAAATGCATAGTGAAAAACACTCGCAGAACATTTTGGGAGAAACAAAAGAAAAAGAAGATAAAAGTTGGGGAGAAAACAAAAGAAAAAGAAGAGGGCTCAATATATTAGGGCTTCAAGTTTGCCTTTTTTCAAGACATTTGGGTTTGAAAATTGGGCTCAAAAAATAAATACCCAATATAAAATAAAATTAATATATTTTCAGTTTGGTCTGGTTTTCGAACCTTAGAAACTAAAACCGAACCAACCACATTCGGTTCGGTTTCTATTTCAACCTCAGTGGATAGAAATAGGTTTCTATGTGGATTTGCCAGATTTGTATATGTTTCTATGAATTTGTATGGATTTGTTAGGATTTCAAAGGAATTGAACCTGTACTGTTTGTACCTGAAATTCTTGCCAAATGTTGCTGCAGAGAAGAAAATGGCCAGGCCAATCTAATATCAATATTATAGACTCGTCTTCCATAAAAGAAAATTGCCTTGCCGATATTATAGTTGGCCTGCCAATCTAATACTGAAACAATAGTGACATGAACGAACAATCTACATAATATCATATCAAATTAACAAGAAATTCTATCATCCTTAACCACACAAATCATGTGTGTTTTATATAGGGTGCAAGCATGTACTAAATAAATTGACTTCTTATTTACCAGCAAGGAAATGCATGAGGATATTGAGATAACATAGAATTAACCAAAGTTATCTAGGAGATTGTTTCCTAGTTTCTCTTAACTTATTTTGTTCCCTAGTTTTTAGATTTTTTCTAGGAATGATTTTATTTTATAATGGTATAAATAAGACTAATTAGCCATTAGGATTCACTACGCATTAGTTTGGAGAACTCGACTTGGAGAACTTTTGACGATTCAACTTTATTTTTACAAGGTGTTTTCTATCCATGCTTTCAATAATATTTTGCTTTTTGACTATGATTATACATAATTAATTCGATTTCAATTTACTTATGTATTATGTAAGCAAATTTTGAATTATTAATCACCGTATTTGGAACTATCTAATTATCTTAATAATTAGGATATTTAGAAAAATAGTTTGATGCAATTTTGGTTGGAGAGTTGTCCCTGAAATTGACACACCCTGATCGAGATCAAGGCATGTTGGCCGTCACGTGAAGGTGACGTAGCCATGTGCACAGTGAGGAAGCAATAAGGATAAGAAATATATGAATAATTAAAAACCGAAACTACTAGAATGCACTAGTAATGACACGCCCCGATCCCGATGTCCTAGGGACAAAGGGATGGTCACGTGCTGGCCGACACTCGAAGGGTGACGAAAGCCATTTATTGAGTGTAAATGCTGACAACAAGGGATAGATAAGACTTATAAATATAAGAGAATAAAGAATATGTATTTAAGGAACGTGTTCAGAGCACACATCTAATCTAGAACATTAAAAGAATTAATATAAAAATTGAATGAACACAGAAGTGGGTCCTACACCGAGAGGACTCAAAGATATCGATGCGAAAGTGCCGGGATTGTACGCCTCGATTCTAAGTTTTGAAGGGGGCGCAAAACAAACATGAGTGGACCAATTTGATATAAATATAATAAAACAGTTATCAACATACTAACCCCCAGGTTTTATAAAAACACATATATAATGAAAAACATAGGTTTTCCGAAACCTAGCATGATGTGCAGTATCTCAAATTCATAACTTGTATATATAATAATCACTAGTGAATTGTCTGATAACCCCCAGGCCCCATGCCGGCTCCCCGTCTCTGAGCAGACAGTCAAAGGAAAATACACTTCAGGCCCCATGCCGGCTCCCCGTCTCTGTGCTAAATAGCCAGAGGAAACACACTCCAGGCCCTATGCCAACACCAAACCGTCGCCCGGGACGGACCGGAATCTATCCATAAGTCCCGTAGCGGAAAGGACCACTAGGTAAGTACGAAACCATTGAACATATATATATTGAAAAACAACTTCATAGTATAAAGTCATCCATCATCTATACTATAAAGAGGTGTTCGAAACATGTTCTAAATATCATATCGTCATCCATCGGATATTCTATAAGAACATGGGTTATAGG